CGGCCAGGCCGGCCCGCTCCCCAGCCGTATCTGGCGCCACTCCGGTCCCGCTCCCGAGGCGCACGCCACACCGTGCGGAACCCGCGCCCCCGCCGGACCGCCACGCGGCCCCTCCTGCATGACCTGCCAAATGTCTCCTTCTGAGCCCTGCGGACAGGTTCTGGGGGAGCGGCTCGGGACGGCGCAAGTTTCGGCGAGGACTCTGGGCCCAACTGGCTCTGAACCCGCGCCTCCTCCGCGCCGGGCCGGCCTCTAGCTCCCTCGCTTCAGCTGCCCGTTGGCTGCGAGCGGCCTGAGTCCGCGTCGCCCGCCCCGGCCGCTCCAACGCGGGGCCCCGAGGAACTCCGGGCTCCGCGGCGCCGGAGGCGAAAAACATCGCCCCCCGCGGCGCGGCCAAGCCCGCCCAGGTGCGGCGCAGAATCCGGGCGCCGGCCAAACGCAGAGGCCGCCGCCAGGGCGACGTGCGCCCCCGGGGCTGTCGAAAAAGCTTCACTGCCGAAGGTGGTGGGTGTAGTGTTGGGGATGACCTTGATTAGTTGATTATGAACTCCCTTATCCCCCAAAGTGGATCCTTTCCATTGCCTCTGCAGTAAAAGAACAATAACAACAAAAAAAAAAGATATTTGTAGCCGGGGGCAGGCTTCAGAAAAGTCCGTTGGAGTGAACCGTCCCACGATTCCCCGCACGGGCCACGGCACAAGAGCTAAGCGGGCAAAAAATGAATGGCAACCGAGGCGTCGAGGCCGGAGGAAAGCAGCGCGGGCGCGGCGGCTTCCAGGGACCACGTCGCCGCGGCCGCTTTCCGCAGCAGCGCGAGGGCGAAACGCCAGCTCGCGGCCGCCCGTTCCCCCCCTCCCGCGCGCAAAAGCAGGCGGATGGCGGGGGGCGCGCTGGCGTGCTCCGCGTCGCGGACGTTGCCGTGAAGCAGCGCCATGCAGCGCCCGAGGTGCGAGACGGCCTCGTCGAACTGCTGCTGGGACATCGCGCTGGCGCGCAGGGCGTCCCCCATGGCGTCAGAGACGGCGTCGGGGACGTTTGCCGTGCAGCAGCCGACGATCGCCGCTGCCGTGCACAGCTGCTTTGCGGACACCCCGCGCCGGTACGAGGCAAGCTCCTTTGCAGCCTGCCAAACCACTTGCTCGTTGCAAGCCGCGGCCGCCACGCCGACGCCCGTGAGCAGCACGCGGGGGATTCGTTCCGCGGCGGCCTTTGCAACGCCCAGGGCCGCCGTCCAGGCCCCAATGGAACCCAGATTGTGCGCCAGGACTTCGGTGTAGCGATGGTCGGGGGATTCAAGACGCCGGTAGGCCTCGATGCAGCTCTCCCAGGCCGCGGCGAAAGGAAGGTTGCCCTCGAGCAACGCCATTCTCAACCAAACGTTGTGCGTGTGAAGGTTCTTCGCCGGCTGTGAGGCATAAAAGCGAATCGCCTGCCGCCACAAGTTCCCCCTGGCCAGGGCCATGAGGGCATTATTGTGCACCGCGGCGTGTTGTCGCTCGCTTGCCGTGAACGCGGACGGGGCGGCCTGGTAGAGAAGCAACACCCGTTCCCACTGCATGGCGTTGTTCATGAGCGCCATAACCTTTCCCAGGGGAATTCGCGCCGTAGGTTCGACGGTGCCGTTGTAACGCGTCACAAACTCCATGGCGACACACCATTGTTGAGGAGTGCAGGAAGAGAGGAAGTAATCCATGACGCGCCTGGGCGGCGGCTTCCCCCCATGCTGCAGGCTGTAGGCCTCCATGAGCTTTTCCATCCGGCTCCCAATCGCCGGTTCTCGCGAGGCGGCGAACCAAGAGGCAAGGGCCGCCACAACACTCACCAAACACCCCTCATCTTGAGCCGCCTCGTCCTCGTCCAGGTGCGAGGCCAGGGCGCAGGCGCGGCGCCACCCGTGGCGCTGCAGCGCGGCCACGCGCCCAACCACGTCCGGCAGGCGAGAACGCGGGCACACCTCCAAGGCGCTCTCCCAGTGGCCTCCGGATGCCAGTGCCACGCCCACATCTGCAAGAGCGTCGTCGGTCAACCCACCCTCGGCGTTCGCCATTTCTCTAAACAACAAGATTGGGAGGTTCGGGCTCAGCTGCGACAACTGTGGCGACTGCAGAAGAAACCGATAGTGCGACACACGCACGGGAACCCCAGCAAGCTGCGCTTCCACGAGGCACTGCAGTTGCTCTATAGTTAGTAAATGGTTTTCCTTCGCAGAAGGCACGGGGTCGTACGTGTAGAAGCGATTCGCGTTGGAGTAACAGGCCAAAATGGTTTCCAACGTCTTGGCCTTTTGCTCGGGTGTGCCGTTTTTGAGCAGTTCCCCTCGCAACTGCCGCAGAAGCGGCAGAGCACGTGCGTCGATGACGTGCCCGGGGAAGCCTTGCAGGTGCGCACGGCACACGCGCTCAAAAACGCCCGCGCCATCGCGGCATCGAAGGTGCGGCGGTGAGGCCAAGTAGTTCCGCAGCGCCTGCACCCAAGACATGGGCTCCCACACGCGCAGTGCCAAGAAGAAACAGAAGCAAAACAACAAGGGAACAGAGAAAACAAATAAGCACAAAAAAAAAGGCCACGGTGGCCAAGGGCGGGGGATCAAAAGTGCAACCACAACAAGAGCAACAAGGTGGGGAGAGCGTGTGTGTGTGTGGTGGGGGGGAGGGGCAGAAAGAAGCGGGAGTGCATTGGCAGCAACGCCTGCCGTGCTTCCGCCACCACTCACCCACTCAATTACATTGAAAGGCATGCAAGGATAGGAAACATCTTTAAAACCAAACACTTTCGCTCCAGCCACATATCATGGAGGAAGGAGGGGGAAAAGAGGCGGCAACACACACATGCAGATGCACACGAAAATAAAATAAAATAAAATAAAAAATGAAAACGAAAAAAAAAAAAAAAGGACAAAGGCAAAGGTAGCAGGCCGAGCAAGCCCTCTTCAGCGTTTTTTTTCTTTTCTTTTCGTTTTTTTTTTAGGACGAACCTGTTTTACTTGCTTCGTGCCGGCGACCACTCCGTTTGACTTTCACCACCCGTTGTGCTGGAGCGAGTTGCTGCTGGCTCCACCGCTCAGGGGCGTTTCCCCCCACAGGAGGCTCACGCCACTGGCGAAGGCGAGCCTCTACCTCGTCCGCCGTGAGGATTTCGGCGTCCTTCGTTCGATATGCGTCACGGGTGCGCTGCACCTCAAAACGATCCCTCCCCACCTTTGCCTTGACCCACCATCCATCGCCCAGGTGACGCCCCAAGAGCGGCCCAGTGGCAGTAAAGTCATACGGCGTTCCGTCCGCACGCAGCCCATGGACGCACACTTCGCCGTCCTCCTCAAACAGGACCTCCACCACGCCCTCCCCGCGAGAGCCATCGCCCGCGCAGTACGAATTATCTGCGGCCATGCGCAAGACGCCGGGCTGCTGCACAATGCTTGGGGTGTCGCCCGCAGGCTGGTGGCCACCGCAAACAATCGCTATTCCGCTTCGGTTGAGAAACTCCACCGCGTCCAGCCCCAAGTAGTGAGGGCCATCGGGCTCCACAAGGGCGTGAACCACCACGGAATGTGGAACGAGGGAGACTGGAAAAGCGTATTCCCGCAATAGGGCCCCGTCACCACCTGATGCCCACCGCCTAAATTCCACCTCTTTAAAATCATTTAAAGCGCCAAGCCACTCCTCAGCCGTGGCATGCCTCATCATCAAGTTACATTTCGGTAAGCGTTTCCCATCCACGGAGGCGTACCTCTCCGGGAGCATCCCAACATTCTGATTCACCACGCTTCCGTGCACAAAGAGAACGCCATCCAGAACTTCAGTCATCTTCCCGTGCTTCAGGTACTCATAGTAAACGCCCCCAGGGCAAGCGGCATCCATATAGCTTTGCGCCACCTCTGCATCCGTCACGTCCTCCCCACCGCCCCGCATCTGTTGCAACTCCTTTCTTCTGTACTCAAAAGCCGTAGGGGCCCCCATCTTGTACTCCAGAAGCCACTGAATAAAGGTTATTTTAGTCACCACTGGTGGCAGGCCACGCTCCTCCAGGTACTCCGCGTACGACACCCACTTCGTGCGACCAGAAGCTCTCGACAAAGTCACTGGGAAAACCAACATTTGAGCTGCCTCGGGAGATAATTGTGCCGCGTTCTCCAATGTCTGTACAATCGGGGCGCCAAACACCATCTTGTTGAGGTCACGGTTTCCCAAAATAAGATGCACGCGCGACGGGTAGGCATCACGAAAGTCCAAGAGCGCCTTGCCAAAGGTGATGTCCTCGCCGTGGTCAAAGACGTCACCACCGTACACGAAATGAGAAGTGCCGTCACGGAAGCTGAGACGTCCGTTGGTCCAAGAAACGACTTTGCTTTTATCGGCGTAGCGAATGAAATATGAAAGGTCACCTTCCACGTCCGTCACAAAAGCTGTGCGGCGACAGACGCCACACCGACGCAGCATCTCTCCCGCCTCTTTTGTCCTCGCATTTCAAAGCCCAGCGTGTTAAGAAGAGGGAGCAGCCGCACATATACGTGCAGAGAAGGCAGAAAGAAGAGCTTGATCAGGAGACACGTTAAAATGCAAAGGGTAGTCAGAGACAAAAAAAATAACAACAAGAACAAGAACACGCGCAAAGAGCGTGTTTCGCTTGAGCCTTATATGGAGGGCAGAGGAAGGAATGAAGAGAGGCCTGCACGTGTACATGGTGAAGCTCAGCAACAGGATGGCAAACGCACGCACTCACACAAAGTGGTAAAGAAGGAAGGAAGGAAAAAGTCAGCCAACCGGACAACCAAGCAAATAAAGAAAAAGAACTAAAAGTATGTCACACCCTTTTTCAAGTAAAAAGGACTCCCCCCCCCCTTAAAAAGCAACACTTCCTTTCCTCCGTTCCTCCTTTCGATCCCATACTTACGCCACAACGCCATACACAGTTAATACACAGTGCATTGCCTTGTTTTCTGCATGGTGCACGTAACAGGCATCACTCGCAGGATTCCAAGAGCACGCCGAAATGGCGTTAAACCCAGCACCATTATTCTGAAAGACTACACAGTGCGCTATGTATTTTCTCGGGAGCGCCGCCTCCTGCGTCAGACGCTGCACGACATTCTCTGTGATGGCAGTCACCATGGCCGGGATCTTCTCATGCTGGTAACTCACCACCGGCATAAAGTGTCGCCCTACCACCTCCTCACAGATGTCCTTTGCGTCATCGGCAAGCGTGAGCTTCTCTGCCATTGACTACTCTAGTTGGTTTGGCCAAGCGGAACTCTCTTCTGCTTGCGTTTATCCTCGGCTACGCGTTCAATCGCCTGGGGGCAGGAAAAACGTGCGAAAATTCCGCGAATTCCGTTTTGGTTTTGCTTAACCCTTTCTCTCTTCGCCGTAATCTTCTCCTCACTCGGCCCGCGCAGAGAAGACGCCGGCGTCAGAGCAAACAAACACCAAGACTTTAAGAAAAAAAAAAGGGGGGGGGGGAATATGCACGCCAGAGCCTTAACGGATCAGAATACGCCTCCGCGGCACTTTGGCGTCACCACGTCCTCCAGACGCTCTTCCTTCTTCTCCCAGAAAGGCGGCAAAAATGAAAATGAAAATAATAACATATGTATATATATATATATATACATATATGCCCTTCTCTTATTTTTTAGGTATTCGGTTCCAGACCTTCTGAGTCGCCCATCCCCAGTCTCTCTAAACAGCTCTTAATGTACCCGGCTCTTCGTGGATCCAAATCCATCGCGGTGTGGTAGTACTGCAACGCCTGATCCGGCAGGCCCATGAGATGCACGCATTTCGCAAGCGTTACGTACAACATTGCCTCATCCGGGCACTCTTTCGTCATCCCCAACAATTCCCTACGGGCCTCGTCGAGGCGCCCAAGATGAATCAGCACCTCCGCACGTTGATGGCGGGCACCAAGGTTGCTCGGGTGTCGTCGGATGGCGCTTTCGTAGATGCGTAGCGCCTCATTCAAACTCTCCCGCGAGGCACCACGTCGGTGGTATGTGGCGGCGTATCGGTTCACGATGGTTGGCAGAGGGTTAATACTGAAGGCTTGTCGAAAGTAATGGCGTGCCTTTTGCAAATCTTCGCTTCTAAAGTATAACTCACCAAGACCGGCGTAGGCATTGTAGTGACCAACATCGATCAAAATTGCCTCGTGAAACGCATCCACCGCCTCTGACTTTAGGTCCAAGTAGAGTAGCTCGTACCCACGCAGGGTGTGGGCACACGCAAAGTCGTGATCTACTTGAATGGCGCGGTTAAGCATACACAGAGCCTCCTTTGACTCCTTAACAAGGCTGTACGCGTTTGCCACAACACACAACGTGATAGGTGAGGCAGGCATTTCGTTAATAAGCGTTTGCGAGAGGGAACCTAAGGTTCCCATCTCCTTGCGTTGCCACAAGGCAGTGCTATAGGAGACCAGCGCCGGGTCCGCCAGCCGCCACGGCGCCACCCGCCTCATTTGCGCAAACACCCTGGCTGCGTTCTCCACATCGCCGTCGTGAAAATACGCCATGGCAAGGGCTGCAAGTGCCCATCCCGAGTCTCGCTCGGGAAAACTTTCATGTTGAAGCAATTCCCGAGCCTCTTTGCATCGATAGGTCCACTGCATGAAAGTAACCGAAGCAAAATGTGACAAGTGTAGCCGCACTGCCTCCCGTCTCATGTGTTGTTGAGAGCCACCCGCACCCGCCACCCCCGCCTCACTCATTGAAGAACGACGCATGGCATTTTCCGTCACTGCCACAGGCCCTGCATCTGCATATATAGCGCGCACTTCTTTGCGTGGGGCCAGTGTCATCTTCATGTGGTTCTCAAACGCCATAAAATTGAGTGGATCTAACAGGGCACTCTTGGCAAACGTCTCCTCCGCATAACTACGACGAAGATGCTGGCGGCACACACCCAACCAATACAGCACCTCCGAACTCGATCGATGCCGCTCAAGTTCCTCGAGAAAACCCTCCCCTTCCATGTACCGCTGCGTCATCCCACATGTCACTCCCAAAAGATACTGACAGTCCCATCGCGCCGCAGCGTCGGCAGCGGGGCCGCCTCCACTGCCACCGCTGCGGCCACTAAGACTACTGTTTGTGGTGCTCGAAGCGACAGTAGTTGGCAGCAAAAAGGGGTAGTGCGTCCGCAAAAGGCGGTAGGCTGTTCCAGCGTCCCCACTGGTAACATAGCAATGGGCCAGTGTGTGTAATGACTCGTGTGTCGGTGACAATGCATAAAGTCTCTCCGCGCAAAAAATGGCATTGGAGTACAAATACTTAGCAAGACTATCCTGCACAGTTTCCTTTAACCCATGCACAGTGAGGGTTTCCTGGCGTTCCCTGTAAAAACTCATGCTTCCCCTCTTTACCTAGCTAATAGCCAAGCATATATACACATACACATATATATACATAGATGAGCGAAAGCCCATAAAGATGAAGGGCAAACGGCACAAGTTGAATTCACCGCTCTAGCAACGTCATTTTTAAAGAACCGCCTGCCCGGGCCAAGAGGCACCCCTTCTCGGCCTCGCAAAGTGCACAACGCCCAACAAAGAGAACTACCACAGTAGCACTGGAGGGAGCGAGAGCAAAAAAAATAATAATAATAATAGCAGTAAATCGGTGGTGCCACGGACAACTTTCGCCTCATCCCTCCCGCCTCCCCCCATTATTTTTTTTCCTTTTCCCTCTTCTGTAGTTTCAAACTGGAGTTTATTGAATTCCGTTGGCCTTTCCTTGTTGCGCAGTCTATTATATTTATTTTCGTCTATCGCACGTATCTCTGGGGTTGGGAGGAGTGATCTACGTCACTAACGAGAGAAAGACCCTTCAACAACAGCACCAACAACAAAGCACGCCTTCTCTCATGTGATTCTATCTATGGAGCAACCGTTCACGCCATCGTGCAAGCCGCTCCCATTCTTGCACTTCTTCACGCGCGTCCCGCTCCTGACACAATACGGGTGATTTCCGAGTAGCCCTGCGTGTTACTCACCTGGTAAAGCACATCCGCGTTGTTAAACATCCCGTCTTTTAGCGAGACAAGAAGAAATTGGGAAGAGGGAAAATGCGTCTGCAGCATCCGCCCAATATTTTGTGTGTGACTGGGGTCAAGCGCGGCATCCACCTCATCAAGGATGTATACAGGCGCCTGACGTACACGGAGAATTGCCAAAATAAGACATAACGCAAGCAACGAACGCTGTCCACCGCTCAGCTCAGACAGGGACTCCTTTTCCTTGCCATTAAACATGACTTTCACCTGAAGACCGCAAAGATGCCGCTGATCGTCCCGCTCCTCCCGCAACACGGCCGCGGCACCAGGCAAACACGTTGAGAAAAGTTTTGAAAAAACACTGCTGACAACCTTTACCATGCGATCCAGTGCATGCCATTTCTTTTCCTCAATGCCTAGGATACACTGCTGAATGGCATCCCTGTCCTCACCCAATGCGG